GTTGGGAACTAAGTTGACCTTTAGTACCGCTTACCACCCCCAAACCGATGGGCAGTCGGAGTATACAATTCAGATTTTGGAGGACATGCTTAGAGCTTGCGTCATTGATTTCAAAGGGTCTTGGGAAAGACACTTATTATTGATTGTGTTTGCCTATAAAAATAGTTATTAAGCTAGCATTGAGATGGCACCATTTGAGGCCTTGCATGGCTGACCTTATAGATCACCGGTTTGTTGGGCCAAGGTGAGTGATGTACCGTTGTTGGGTCCATAAATTGTTAGAGAGACAACAGAGAAAGTTGCCCTCATTCGAAAGAGGTTAGCTACGGCTCAAAGCCGACAGAAGAGTTATGTCGATAAGAGGAGACGACCTTTATCTTTCAAAGTTGGTGACCATGTATTCCTTAAAATCTCACCAAGGTGGGGTTTGATGAGATTTGGTAAGAGTGGTAAATTGTCTCCAAGGTTCATTGGGCCTTTCGAGATATTTGAGTGAATTGGAGAAGTGACATACCAGTTAGCCTTACCGCCACAACTTTCGAGAGTTCACAATGTGCGTCATGTGTCCATGTTTAGGAAGTATGAACCCGACCATTCTCATGTACTTGATTGGGTTGATTTGGAGGTAGACAAGGATGCCTCTTACGAAGAGCGACCGGTTCAAATTTTAGACACCCGGGAACAAGTGTTGAGGGGAAAGACTATACCGTTAGCAAAGGTGTTGTGGAGACACCATGGGGTCGAGGAAGTGACTTGGGAGTGGGAGGCGGAGGTCCATTCCAAGTATCCGGATTTGTTTGAAAATTCTTAGTTGTTTTAACTTGTAATGTTTCCTAGTGTTTGAGGGAAATGTGTTAAATTGTTAACCATGTGTTATTATGTGTGTTATTATTCCAAGCATGTGATTATTATGATTGTCATAATTGTGGCTGGAAAGTTTCATGCCTAAGCTTATCATGAACTGTTGTTGTTAATATTGTGAGATTATTATGAATTGTCATTATTGTTGTTGGAAAGTTTCATGCTTATGCTTATCACGAACTGTTGTTGTCAATATTGTGGCTAAGGCACATCAAAGCCATGTTGTTAATAGAAAATTTTGTTGAGAATTGAGATCTTCGTACTAGTATGAGAGTTATTATTATCGTTGAATTGAAATTATGTTAGCGTGGTTTTGATCGCTTGAAGTTTGACTTAATTTCGAGGACGAAATTTCCTATGGTGGGGAGGTTGTGATGACCAGGTACATAACCTGTCTCGTCCTTCTTTGATTTGTGCTGGGATTACTCTTGTTAGAGTGTCAGGTTCAACTTGAGGTCTTGTCAACTGTTTGGATTTGTCGTTTTTGAAAACTTTTCTCAAAATTCTCATTCTTATTTATTTCGGTGTTGAGTGTCACATGTTTCGAGAGGCATTAGGTTAGATCCTGGTGATCCCAGTCTAGCTGGTGAAATTTCTGGTTGGGAGGCAAAGCCGCATGTGCGGAAAGCAGGGGTTGCAAGGGTGCAATACTGAAATAATTGCAAGTGAAATTGCAAGTGCGGAGAATGAGGGCCGCACGTGCGGGGGTGGAGGCCGCACGTGCGGTGAAGGTGTGCCGCACGTGCGGGGAAAGGCTCGCATGTGCGGGAAAACGCTGAGTCTGAAATTTTTTCTTTTTCTTCACTTTGGGATGAATGTATCTCACTTTTTGTATATATATATATATATATATATCTCTAAAAATCCATTTCCCTTTCTTCTCTCTACGTTTACCTACACCAAATTGTATCAAATCTTTGATTTCTTCAAATCCATTAGAGTTTTGATCATAGCTCCTTCATCAAAGTTGGAAAACTCTTCGAGAGCTACGTTTTGTGCGGTGGAGATCGAGTTTTGGCACTGTTGATTTTGGGGCATCTCTCTCTCTCTCCTTCTAAAACTTGAGGTAGGGATTTTATTAGAGTTATATATATATATTTGCAAGATTATGTTGATTTTGGAACTCTCTTTGGTGGTATTGAAATTTGATTTTTGGCTCAAGTGTGTTGATGATTTTAAAAGTGGGTTTACACCTTGTTTTTTTTCAAAATTTTCTTGAGAGTTTGAACTACATTGTGAGGAAAAATGCTTTCTTTTAAAAAGATGAGGAAATGTCTAGTTTTGGTAAAAACCTAGGAATTTGAGATTTTGGAAGAGATGTTGAGAATTCATGGGTGTTTACCTATTATAGTGTTAAAATGAATAAATGATTGGGAATTTCATATTGTTATATATAAATGAGAAATTCCATGGAATACGAAAAATAGTTGGTTTTGAAGTTTATTGTTCAAAATGTGGGCATAGTCATGAAATGACTAAATTGTTGAGAATGCTTGAAATGTGAAAATGTGCTACTCTTTTGATAGATATAAATGAATATATGTCTATCTTGTGAAATTGCATTGGAAAGAGAAATGAGAATTTTGATCACAATGCAAAAATTGTGTGAAAGAATTGAAAATGGAAAAATATTATATCGCATTGACATATGTTGCATTGGCATTTCAATTCATTTGGTTGTTCTAAATTTTGAATTGAAATTTGAAAAGTTTTGCATTGAGAAAAGAAATGTTTGTGAAACAAGATCTCATTGAATTGTTTTGGGGTAAATACGTCGGTAAGTCCAAATACGAAGTGTATATGAAATTGATTAAGTTAGCTTGAGTGTCCAGAGCGTCCAAAGTGAAAGACCGAAAATACGCGCGAATGAGGTACCACGTGCCTTTCGGTTAACTACTGGTAAAGTGGGGATTTGGTAGTGCTAGTTATGCTTACTTGCAGACACCAACTTAGGGATTACTTGAGTCGTATTTACCGCCCCTTGAACTTGATTTAAAATTATTGAATTGTCGAATTTTAAGATTTCATTGTGCATGATGGCTTACAAAAAAATGAATATGCGACTTTCTTTTAAAGGCATAGTATGGCATGTGCATTTCATCTCATGAGACTCGTATAAAATGTATATATTTTATTAAGAATTTTCTACTAGACTTTATGCTCACCCTATGAGATTTTATGCAGGAAAAGATATGGTGATTCCGCCAAACTAAGGGCATAGATGTGTTCGTTGAGAGCACAAAGCTCTTGTTTTTTGTTGTGATTATATTTTTGCAAGCCAAGGGTTATAATTGTGTAGGTTCAAGCATTGCGGGCATTTATTTACTTTTGGACGGGAGGTTTTACATGCTATAAATTCGTGTACTAAAATCGTTAAATGTATATTTGCATGTGGAGTTATTTTGTAAATCTCTTATGAAAAGTTAATATGCGAAGGGTTTTCACCAAAATCCCCGTACACATATACTCATTATAAAAAATTAAGGTTTTAGGAATCAAAATTTAGGGATAAAATTATTTTTAGAGACCAAATATTTTTGTTACAAAAAATGTCGTTATTATATTTTTAGCAACGAAAATTGGACATTAGTGATGAATTATTATCTACTTGGGACCAAATTTTTTGTCTCAAAAAATAAACTATTTTGAGACCAAATTATTTTGTCCTAAGAGTCTATTTATTAGTAACATTTTCAAAATTTTGTAACTGAAAGTCTTATTTTTGACTTTTCATGACGACCTTTTAGCGATTATCCTCACGATGTTGTAACAAAATTTTCACTTTTAAAGACCAAAACATTTTATTTTTAAAATTCTTATATGTTGTAGTGACTTTTCGTATAATTACCACTAGGGACTAGAATATCTAGAGTGAGAAAATAATATATATATATATATATATATATATTGAATATTGTTTTATTCTTTCTGTTTCCTGTAGAATTCTTCCAGATGGGTAATTGGGTTTTTTCTCAAATGTATGATATATGTCGATGGAGGAGTTTGGTGAGAAAATAAAATAAATAGTGAGAATAGAAAATTCATTTACTTATTTGAATAGTTAAGTACACTACAAGAATTAACACTTTTGGCAACAAAAAAATTGGTCGCTAAAAGTCTATTTTTGGTCGGCAAAAGTTATCCGCGACCAATTTTTTTTGTCGCTACTTTGGTCGCCAATTGAGGGTCGGCAATATAAAAAAAAATTCTCATCAAAGTTGTGTTTTATTTCTCACAAAAAAATAGTGAGATTTGATGAAGAAAATGAGTTTAATGAAAATTTTCTAAACTATCAAAATTATCCCATGGTGGAAGAAGTTGAAAAAATAACTTATTAAAATGGAAGGTTATTTTGATAAAATGAAATAAAATATTTTCTTTTCTTTTCTCTTGTTTACTTTATTCAAACAAATAAGTGAGAAATTATATTCTCTTTTATTTTATTCATCCAGATACAAATATTACAAAACAACAATAACTTCTTTTATTTTATTCATCCAGATACAAATATTACAAAACTACAATAACTTCTTTTCATTCTCACCTCACGATCCAAACGGAGTGTAAGCCTTATTTATGTGTATGGAGCTCTCAAATGTAGAAAGAGAAAAGGATTGAAAAATGAGAAGGAATAAGAGTTATGATTCGAATCGTTTATTTTGCTAACAATCTTTCATAAATATTATTCATAAAAAATAAATTCAATATGATAAAATGAACAGTAACATTATATCCTACCAATTTCAGATTTGTAAAATCAATTTTTAATGACATAACAAACATTTATTAGATAATTTTTATATTTTAATAAAGTTTTCAAATGATAGGACTCATAACATATCACTTGTGATTGGTTTGGAGGTGCAAAACATTTTTGGATTGTTCCGAGTCGCAACCAAACCAACCAATTTGACAACAGAAGCAATTCCATAAATCAGTTTACATATTTCAAAGCCGTGAAGAGGCTATTACGAGCAAGTAACCTTTAGAGTTTGTTTTTTTTTAAATTTTTTGGAATGCTGCATTATGTGGTTGATATTTAATGACAAGTCACATTAATTTTTTAACATTAAATCTCAACCACACAATTCATTACTTTAAAAAACTCTAAGCCACACAATCCACTACTTTAAAAAACTTTAAGAAAGTACAGATTTACTGGCCAATCCCAGAACGCCACATAGCTCCGGATGCAAAGCTTTACGTATTTTCGCATACACCTCGCCGTTCCATTTCCTCTTCCCCAACTTCTCCCCTAGCCTCACCGCCGCCTCCACCGTCGCCTCCGCGCTACAATGCGCCTCCTCCACAATCCCCATCGCCACCGCCTCCTCCGCCCTCACTTTCGACGCTTTCAACACCAACTCCCTCCCCGCCGCCGCCGATCCGACCTTCGACCTAACCAGCGCCAACGTGTTGTCCGGGAACGCCATCCCTATATCCAGCTCGCTCATATACAGCACACCTCTATCGCTCCTCATGAACACGTAGTCGTGGCTTATCATCAACATCATTCCGCCGCCGACGGCGTGGCCTGTCACGGCGGCGATCGTCGGCATCGGGAGGGAGATTAGGTCCGCAATCAGTGTCTTGAAGAGGTTTATCAAGTGGTGGAGGCGATCATGGGCGGCGGCGGCGGAGGAGGAGCCGGCGGATTCGGCCCATGCGAGATCGAAGCCGTTGGAGAAGAACTTGCCGCGAGCGGTGGTAATGAGAGCTGAGCCTCGAGTTGACTGTTCTCGGGCTTTGCGAAGAGCTGAGCGGAGTGATTCGATGAGGTTAGGGTTCAGGCGGTGCTCATCGTCCCCGGTGATGGTTAAGAAGAATATATCACCTCGCTTCTCTAACGTACAGTTAAGTCAATATTCACAGGATGGTGGCTGAATCATACAAGCAGGATGGTGGCTGGATCCCAGATTTTATTCTTGTCTCCAAAAATGACACATTTGGAGACGAAATATGATTTTCGTCATTAAAAGATACGTATTTCGTGACAAAAAAAAATTCGTCATTAGTTTTCGTGTCTAAAGATTATTTAACTCAAATATATTAAATGACTGATGTAAACAATATCAGCAAAGAAACTATAATTTCATAGATAACATTCAATTTAAAGAAAAAAAATTTGAATGTGCAAATGTATAGAAAGGGGAAAAAATTCAAATTATAATGCAAGTATGCATTTGATAACTGTAATGTTCTTGGGATACCTTGACTTTGGATGTTACAGCTCATAAGAAAATTGACATTCACAAATAGGTGTTGGTGAATATTCTGTATGATTGCGTTCTCATGTGGGTTATATATTATCATATAATTGAGTCTAGTTTACCAAATCAAAGTGACATTTACAAAAATGAGATGACTGACAAATTGACACACTTCTATGTACAAATCCATGAACAACAATAACTTTGTAGTTAGATTTGTGCTTGGAAACTCTAGAACAATTAAATTTTAAATCCATGGAAAAATATTGGTGTAGAAAACTATAGAGCATTATATAAATTGGAAAAAGAAAAAGAAGCGAAAGAATACTATTTCTAATACAGACAATGGGAAAAGCATATATCAACATGGAAAGCAATACAAAACTAAAAATTCAAGTGATTCCTCCTCTAGAGAGAAAATATAGACCATATTGCGTTTAAAAATAAAAAAGCAAAGACTTCATATCTAAAAGGGAAAAAATTGCAAACATAACATATAAAACTAAGATTTTTACAAAAATTAAATAGTTTCTACCAGTAGATCTAACAATGACACAAACACGAAAGATTTTATATATTTTTGAGAGAGAAGCTGAAGGAGAACATAAAAAATTGATCCATTTTCTGAAAGAAAAGAGAAAAATAAAGTAAGAGACATGGAGTGCGGAAGCATCCTGTTTTAGAAACTATTTATATTTGCAACCATCCATAAATTTATATCATAACTCATAAATTTACTTCCATAACATGATCTAGTAATGCATATATTGATACTTAAAATTAGATCCTCCCATCAAACTTTTCTTGTTATTTTAACTCAACATGATGTTCATTGATAATTGATAAGTAACAATGTGCTCCTGTTTTAGAACCATAATTTTTCAAACCATTGAAGCTACTTTTTCAACTCACATGTTGTAACCATTCATGCCAGTTTTTCAACTCACAGCAAAAATAAAAGCTTTCTAAAAAAATACATCTACAAAAAGTAGGAAAAACCAAAAAAGTATATATTAAGTAACACAAGAATTGACTCCACACACTAAATGAAAAATAGATTTGGGGCAACAACAATTAACAATAAACATAGACAGCTCAAAGTAGAAATACCCAACCAACAGTAGCTAGTAAAAAGGTAAAATCTAACAACATAGCTAAGGTTATTCTTCAAAGCACAACTGAAAGAAAAATAGAATCCAATAATCTAACACACATCAATTAATTTGGAAACCTCCAAAATATTCTGAGGGCTTTCTAACCAAATAAAAACAGTGCCTAGTCAACTATTTCTTTTTACATGTGTATTCACTGATTTTATTTATTTTGATTGTTTTTTGTTCTATAGAGATTGAATCTTTGTAATCACACCTGTGATAGCTCCTATAACTTGTACTTATAAGAAAAACATATAAAATTGCATGTAATACTATTGTGATTTCCCATTTGAATTACTTGCTCTTCCCGATACTAAATTTTTATGGATACATACCCAATATAAGCCTAAACACACACAATCATCCACCGACAGAAACTAATTATTACTGAAACTCATCAAGTGAAAAAAAAAAAAAAAACAGAGCACTCTCAAGCATATATATATAATTATGCATATACTTTACTATTGTGATTTCCCATGTTAATACTGTAAATACAAATTCATCAACCAGAAAGAATAGAAAGTGCATAGAAAATCAATATGCCATAATCAAAAACTATATGACATGCATATGTGACATTATATCATCTCACATTGTCCATGCAAAAACTATACCCAAACACTTCGACATATTTCTACCGTCTCCTATTGCATCTCATAAAAAACAGCTGGCACATAGAACATAGTAACTTCATCGATATCATCAGTTGGATATGCAGAACTGAGATAATCAAGACAACTTCAAAAATAAACTCAAACTTGTGTAGGTAACTTCACAGAACATATCTGAATCCACTTATATATAAAATATAAATTATGAAGGCAGATGCAAAACTGCTCCTTTTCAAACTTTAATGCCAATTGACACAATCATTGACTTCTAGTACGCACAACATCAGATGCTCGTAAGCATTTAAGTGATTGTACCATTAGGAATGACACTTTTAAAAGACAGAAAGAGGATGATGGATAAATAAAATCAAGCTCAGTTGCAAGAATCCAGACTCCAAAACTGAACAGACAGAGTATTCTAGAGGTTCCAAATTCTGTAAATTCTAATCTCAGTCCAACTACTGCCAGCACCAGCTTTCAAATACTAAAAAAGCACGCAAACTTAAAAGGGTAGTAGAGAGAGTAGTAAGTTATATGCTTTTGAGCATGTGGAATTATAATCTAAAACAAACTCCTCTCTAATTTAATGTCCTTCTGCAACTTTAAAACTAGTGATTTGGCTAAAGTTACTCTGGTACTCGTGAGAATGCTTTTATGTTGTCATAGACCTTGTCCCATTTTCAATATATTGATTCTGGTGGGAGGGACCACAAATATCAGCATGCAAATATAATTACCAATATAGACAAGAGTTTGTTTTAGATTATAATTTACCATTCACACCAGAACCAAAAAGTATAATCGAAAATATATTTGGCATTTTTTTGCTGGCTACGTATCAAACATTGACAGAACCAATGTTTGATTATGCTTTCTAATTCAAACATTAATAGAATATTCCAGGAGAGGGAGAAATTAAGAAATCAACTACAGCCTCTATTATGTCTTTCTCGCTCTGAAAGTGCTGTGGCGGCACTATAACGACTATACATTGCAGAAATTAAGCAATATAACCTTCTCTTCTTAAGCAAGTATGAACATTAAGGGACAAAAATGACCACGATAGATACATATATTCAAAAAAAATTATGATATAGATGATAGAGATACATATATATATCTATTAATATAGAGAGAGAAAGAAGAGTTTTTCACTTACCTTGAGCAAATGAGAAGAATGAGATAACGCAGAGCACAACGCCGTTTGAATCCCTCCCGCTGTTCGAAACACTCGCCTTCTCTACGTCCGATCCAAGTCTTGCTTCTCTCTTTTCCCTCCAAAAGGTAAGTGCTGTAAAGAGATGAAAGGTTAATTTAGGGTTACTATTGGTAATATAATGGGAGGTGCAATGAGAGTTGTATTTTTTTTAGTGGTGTAATGAGATAGAGAGTGTAAGAAGGTAAAAGGGTAGTGTAAGTAGAATTACCCCCTCTTATATTTGAATCGACTTATCCCCTGTTAGATTAAAATGACATATTTGCCCCTTACCCTTTATATATATAAACTAATAAAATAATACTGATATTTTATTTATGTCATTTCAAGAGAAATAATAATCTTCTTTTGTTTAACTCATACAAAAAATAGAGTTTTTTTATTTTTATATTTTTAGATACACCTAATCTAGATATACTTAAGAAGTATAATGTTTTGTGATTTTTTTTTTAAAAAATTCACCAAATACAAAAATATAATATATTATTTATTTTGAAAAATGTTTGAGACCCCCATTTTTTGGAGACCCCCACGACCCTCTTTGGATCTCCACCATTGACGTATGTGTGGGATCCACTCATGTATGTGTGGGGCCCACACCATCAATGATGGAGATCCAAAGGGAGTTGTAGGGGTCTCCAAAAAATGGGAGTCTCAATCATTGTTGATGCCAAATTATACCAATACTAAAGTCATAAAAAAAATAAAATAATAAATACATAAACTAATATCATATATATATATTTTTTAATATATTTAGATTAAATTGATCTAATCTAGATATAGTAGTGGAAATAAATATAAAAAATTATATTCATATATAAAAATTTATACAAAAACAAAAATTATAAAATATTGTGATAGTGATATTGTTATAAATATAAATCATGTTTATGGGTGTTTTGTTTTAAAGTAAAAAGTCACTATTAAACTATATCATTGTGTTTGAAAATTCTATATAAAATTATATTTGTATATCATTACTCAATAAAAATATATTCAAATAAAATTTAATGGTGAAAAGTTATAGAATGTACTCATAATGATAAGAAGAAGAAATGGTAAAAAAAAGGATAAGATAGTCAGTTAAAAATTTTTAAAGTATAACATCAACAATCCAATGAATAATTTATAATGAGATTATAAATATTAAACAATGTGTGTGAGTCGATTTCTGACCATACTGCCAAACTGGTATTCAGCTGGAGAGCACCGACAGAATAGATTAGGGCTGAACGACCGGTCACAGAAAGAATAGATTTCGGCGATGGTTCGTCCACCTGGGGGCACTCCGACGATCAAATCAGTTATTTCTCAAAGATAGCAAAATTGCTTAATTCACTATTCATAATACAAAAAGCGTACCTTAGACCCATGAGGGTGCCTATCTTTTACAGCCAACACTGACCTAATCCCAATAGAAGTCTAACTCCAATGGATTTTAGCTCAATGCTAATCCTGAACTTCCAGTTAGATTGAGACAAACTCTCTAAGAGTCTTATTTTTATCCAGACTGAAGTTCTCTCCCAATTTAGGACTCTTGTCATTTATCCGCTTATCTCGGATTCAGATATTTTGGCAGATCGATATCATGATCAAGACACGTGTCACCTCGACTGATACTTTACTGTCACCTTGACCACGTGTTATCATTAAAAAATTATGTCCCACGCAATGTGATCTTTTAAATGTAAAGAAAGATCTATGTTAGACATAAACATCAGGGATGTCAGGTAGGTTACCCTAGTCAAATTGATAACGTGGAGTTTTGATAAGTGAATGCCATCAGGCCCACCACCCAAATCTTTTTTTATGAAAAGGCACAGTATGCCCAAAAGTTTAAAAATTTTATAAGAATAATAGTATATACATTAATTAGTATATAATTAGTGTATTAATAGATGATGATAAGATATTTCTCTCTTTTTTTTGAACATATTTTAACGAAAAAATATTTGTGTACAAAATTCATACATAAAAAAATACCAAATAAATGATTGTGTGGTCCATAATTAATTCTATGTATTGTGGGATATGTAAAATGAATGAGTCACACAATAATTTTCTTGGTAGATTTATGTGATCGACTTCTATGCACCTATGGTGGTTGTTTAACAATAATTTTACAAACCATAAAAATGTTTTTACTAGTTTTGTACAAAAGATAGTTGGAGAGCCATGTAATGAGGGAGTGTTTATCTACTTATCCCGCAGGATTAGTCCTGATTTTCCAAAAAATTAGAGGGCTGGGAATACCTGCGTTATCAAAAAAAAAAAATGAGGGAGTGTTTATTTGGTGGCCTTAGAATATTATTTCACATCATTTATCACTTGATATTTGTTAAGTTATCTATAAAAAATTTAATAAAAATTACTTAAACATATTATTTTAACCAATTAATATCAAGTTGAAACGCCACATGATATTGCTCTTTGTGACTAGTGGCCAAGATTGGATTGCATCTAGTTGATCGTCTAGCCCTGCCCATTGTGGGCCCATCTCAGTAATACAAATTATTTATTTTATAGAGTTCGTAGAGTATGTTAAAAATCAAAATAATTGAATATTAATTGTCATTTAATCTGATAACATTTGTTTGAAAATAATGAATAGATAATATGATTTTGGAAAGTATTCATCTATTTTCTTTTTTCAAGAAAATGTGATATGATCATTTTTTCAGAGTGCAACTTCTTAATAAAAATCTAAAAATTTGTACTGAACACCTAACTATTCAAAAATTTAAATTCTAAAATCATATATATTTTCTAAATAAAAATAACAAATATGTTGTTATCGAAATTCTGAAATATTAAACAAAACAACCAAAATTATTAGTGCAACTTCTTAAAATCTTATCCAAAAATGCAGCCATAATTAAGGTTTCAATTGCAAGTTAGCTAAAAAGTTAATTTATTAAATAGAAATAAGATTACAAAAAAGAATTAATATCAAAATTTTATTTATTTGGCAAGTTCTTAACTTTTTTGAATTTTTAAAAATGATTAAGATGGAATTTTTTGCAAGAAATTGATTTTCCACATGAATAAGATTTTTTTAATAAAATGATTTTTTAATCAATAAACTAGTTCTTAAATCATAACATAAGACTACATCTATGGATTTGATGGCTTGTTTGGTGCAACTTTTTTCAAACAGAAATTTGATAATTAAAAGCAAAATCATAAGCCTAAAGCACCCATTTCCCTGTTTATCAATAATCATTTTTTAAAAACTTATTTAAGTTATTTTTTGAATTATAAGTTGTAAGTCCAAATTGTACTAAATTTTCTAACACAAATTAAAAAAAAAAAAAAAAAAACACAAGAAACTCTCAAAACTACATCAAATAAGGCCTTAGCCAATGAATGGCAACAGAGTCATGAGCTTGTCGTCTTTTGTTGAAATCATATTCGATGTAGGAGGGGGGAGGGGTTAATTTTGTAACTCTGAACATAGAAAAATTAATAAAAATTATAAATAATATAATATATTACAAACAATTATTTATAATTAATGATTGTTAAAAAGAACGTAAGATGATAAATAAATGAATAAAAATGAAAGCCAAGTGTAAGATTTTAATGTTTTATTTTATTATATTGAACAAAAATTAAACTATATACATATTATACATGTCCATATATTAAATATATAAAATTAAGGTAAAGCATAGTGAAACGGGATAGGGAAAGTAAAATTTGTTCCCACACCATTTCTTTATCAGGTTAGGAAAAATCAACACGGGACTAGGTAGGGGATGCGGGTAGAGCAGGAGGGTGAAAATTGCCATCCACATGAGCCTTTTTGATTTTATTTTTTATTTTCTTCTAAATACTCCAAAAAATAAAATTATTTATCCAAGTAATCTAGTTTTCAAACTATATGTGATCTTTTGGTAACATGGTAAAATGCTCCGTTTGCAGTTTGATTTCAAAAAAGATATATTGACTTTTTTAGCAAAAAGTTATTTGGCAACGTGAAAAAAACTACACAAAAAATTACAATTATACTTTTTATATTATTTAGGGTTACACATGGAGTTTTTTTTTTCAAATAATCCAAAAAAAGAAACTGTTTAGCGAATTGACCCGCTTTTCAAACTATTTGAAAAATTAACTTATTTTTGAAATTTCATTCTGAAAATGCAATTTTAAAATTGAAATTGTATTTTCAATATATAATTTCACATCGAAATCGCATGCTAAATTTGCGATTTTAAGGTGAAATTGCATGTGCAAGATGCAATTTCAATTTAAAAATCGCATTTTAAAAATGCGATTTCAAAAAGTATGTTAGTTTCTTAAATAATTTGAAAAGTTGGTCAATTCTCTAATTAGTTTTTTTTTTTGGAATATTTAAAAAAAAAACTCGTTATACATGAGTAAAAATGTAAATTTTCTAAATTTGGTAAGGTAATTTGATTATTTTATTGTGATGTGCCATTATAAATAAATATTAACAAAAAAGCCAAAGTAGCCTTTTACTAATTTCTCAAGTCATTTTTTAAAAAAGTCAAAAAACTTGATAAAAAGTTTAAAATCAACTTTTTACTATCTTTCGAAAATATTCCTATTTATCAAACTAATTGACTTTTAAAAAATATAGGATTAAAATGCGATTTCAACCCACTGATACTATAGATGTGTAAAATTATATTTTGAACTTACAATTTTAAAATCTCGTTTACTTTCATAAACAATTTTAAAAATTAATTATTTTCATACACAAAAAAAATTGTGGCTCCGTTTGGTGGAGTTTTTAAAATCTAGTTCCACACTCACTTTTGAGTATGGTGTTTGTTTAGGGTTTTCAAATCATAATTCTACACTCATTTCTCAAAACTCAATTCAAAACATAATCATTACTTTTCAAAACTCATAACCAAACACATAATTCAAAACTCTTTTCAAAACTCCATTCAAATCAATATTTTAAAAATATTTTAATTTTGTTAAGATTTTAAATATTTTAATATTTAAATATGTTACGATTTTTTTAATTTTTTAATTTTTTTTCGCTTTTCAAACTATTTGGAAAACTAACTTATTTTAGAAATTTCATTATGAAAATGCGATTTTGAAATTAAAATTGCATTTTCAATATATAATTTCATATCGAAATCGCATGTTCATTGAAATCGCATTTTCAACATGTAATTTCACCACGTTATCATTTTCAATTTGCGATTTTAAGGTGAAATTGCATGTTCAAGATACAATTTCAATTTAAAAATCGCATTTTGAAATGCGATTTCAAAAAGTAGGTTAGTTTCTTAAATAATTTGAAAAAATGGTCAATTCTCTAATTAGTTTTTTTTTTTGAATATTTAAAAAAAAAAAACTCGTTATACATGAGTGAAAATGTAAAGGAAAATGCGTGGTAGCTCGAAAGTATAGTGGCTCGAACGGCTCAACAGCCCAAAACGATGTCGTTTTGGGTTTTTTTTTTTTTTTTTTCTTCTTCTTCTTCGTCGTGCTGGTCTGAAACCAGAGGGAGAGAGAGAGAGGAGGCAGGTCGTCCGTCGTAGCCCTCCGCCGTCGCTTCTGCCCGATCGTCGCAGCCCCGCATCGGCCGATCGTCGTCGCAGCCTCCGCACCTCCGCCCCTCCTCCGCCTCCACCCCGATATGTTGGCCCCCTCCAGTCCCTCCTCCTCCTCCGCCCTCCTCCCTCTCCCTCCTCTTCCTTCTCTCTCACCAGCCTCCGTGCCTCCGCCCCTCCTCCGCCTTCTCTCTCTCCTCCGCCTCCACCCCGATATGTTGGCCCCCTCCAGTCCCTCCTCCTCCTTCTCTCTCACTTTTTCGAGCCAATTTCGAGCCGAAACTCTCGAGCTACCAATCGCTACCGAAATGTAAATTTTCTAAATTGGATGGGATAATTTGATTATTTTATTGTGATGTGACATTATAAATAAATATTAAAAAAAAAAAATCAAAGTAGCTTTTTACTAATTTCTCAAGTCATTTTTCAAAAAAGTCAAAAAACTTAATAAAAAGTTAAAAATCAACTTTTTACTATCTTTTCAAAATATCTCTATTTATCAAATTAATTGATTTTTAAAAAATACATATTAAAATGCGATTTCAACCCGCTGATATTATAGACGTGTAAAATTATATTTTGAACTTACAATTTTAAAATCTCATATGCTTTCATAAATAATTTTTAAAATTAGTTATTTTCATACTCAAAAAAAATTGTATTTTTCATACGTATTATAGGTGTGTAAGATTGTATTTTGAACACATAATTATTTTTTGAAATATTCACTCAAAAAAAAAAAAAAAGAAGACTCAAGTCTTTGAATTATATGATTTTGTGTCTATTATCACAAATATCTCCATGAATCTTTTCTTTTGGTGGGAAATTTTTTTTTTTTAAAACCTCCAAAAAAATCCCAAAACCCCCATTTTCTATTCGCGCCAAAACGTTAAAAAAATTACACACACAGTGAAAAAAAAAAACCGCGAAATTATAGAAGGTTTATTCTTTCGCGCCAAATTGAGTTTCAATGCCAACTATAACTCCTCTTGCTCTCTCTCTCTCTCTCTCTCTCTTCATCGTCTCTTCCATTTTTCAACCTCTGAATCAATTCTGTGTTTTGAATTGTTTCTGGGTGTGCTCTTATTTTTATTTTAGATTAGATATGGATATAGATATGGAGTCCAAAGCCATTGTAGGAGAAGATGAGAATGTGAAAAAGATCAGATTTGTATTCGGCTCTGAACTATCAGACGCAGACATTCTCAAAGCGCTTTCTCAATGCCAAAACAACCCAGATGACGCAATCAACTTCATCCTCGACACACCCGGTTTTTTGTCGCCGCAAGTGACTGTTAAACGGACTGTTACTAGCACTGGAGCTCGAATTTCTGGGCCTATCAAGCAAGAAAACGGTCAAGGATCAGAGGAAGTTGAATCGGTTGATGGGTTGATGCCGAAGATCGAAGTGAAGGAACAACCTGGTTTGGGGATTCAGAAGAAATCGGTACCCAAAATGTCGTTTGATGAGTTTCTTGTGGCTACGAATACGAAAGTCATGGCTGATGATGAATATCTCAAATCCCAGATTAAGGAAGAGAAAGAAGAGGCAGTTTTGAATAGGGATGTGAAAATGGAGGTGGATTGTATTGAGAAGAAAGTGGCTGTGAAAGGAGAGACCGAGGGTTCGGAGAGTCTTCAATCTTCGGAGCCATTGATTAGCCCAGACATGACTTTTCAAGAGTATCTTCGATTGGCAGAGAAGCCTAAAGAACCAAAACCCCAATCACATTGTGGGTTGAATACAAAACCTGATTTGGGGGCTTTTGAGAAGGTCTCTGGAAAAAAAGAAGAGTTTATGGATGGGTTTGATGAGTTTTGCAGGTCTAGAGAAAAACCCAATTACAATCTGCTAAAAGCCTCATCTGTCAAGAAAGAGAGAGTCGAAGATCGGAGGCTTAGTACAGTTGTGATTGAGGATGGGGATTTTCCAGAAGATCCAGATTGGTTGTTGGTGGGAAGGACAACGATTATTGGGCTTTCGACAACAAAGGGAAGGAAATTGGAGAACAATGAGATTGTTCATTTTGCTTTTCCTTCTACGGATTCAAAGGGTAGATGCAACTCACGCTATATGAGTGCGAAGGCTACTGCTGCTGCAACCATTGTTCGCTTCTCGACCAAACGATCAGGGGAGGTAATCTGAATTTGTCAACCATACATATATTGCATTAGACAATGTTTTTAATTGGACGTGTTTGTTATACAAGAACATGCCTGGTTTAGTTTTGATTTGAAATGGGTCTTTTTTATTAAATGCTCATGTTTGTTACTCATTTTGGAGCCGGTATTTTACTGGTTTTTTTATTTTGAATGAGCAGAATGAATGTTGTGACAACTTGTAATGACTTTTTGACTAAAATTGTTAGTTGCCAAACGAGCCCTATTTCAGTTTGGGAGGTCACCTGAATTTATTCTGATATAACTATACTATTTTCTTGACTTAGTTGCATTAGACATTGTTTTTAATTCAATTTGTTCTTGTTATCAAGAAAATGCTTGTTTAGTTTTGATTTCATATGGGTTAAAAAAAGAAATTCTTATATTTTTCATTCAATTTCAGCTTGGGAGGTTGCCAATGGAGTGGGCAAAATGCCTTATACCGCTTGTGAATTCTTCAAAGGTGAAAGTTCTTGGTCGATGTATAGCTGCACCATTAAATATGTGTTTGATGCAGGAGATATTGTTATATGTTAGGTAAAACCCCCAACTTTATTTGAATTTAGATCAAATTTTGGTTACTCATATTTGGCTTTTTTGATTCATACAATTTTATTTGTTTGTCTGTTTTTTATTTAATTATTTTTCATTGATATGTTTCTGTCAAATTTGTAGCTTTTATATTCATCATTCAATTTTCACGGATGGTGACAAGTCTTCGTGGAAGCTAGATGCTCCCTCAAACATTGACTCCACTGTTTATCCTCTCCTTACACTTTTCAAATTGTTGAAAACTAAACCATTTCAGAAGGTACTTTATTTGTCTCTTTGAGCTCCTTTGAAATCCAATAACTGATGAGCACTTGAAATTTAAGGTTATGTTTATTTTCTGTATCATTCATATTGCTTCAATCATTGCTTCAATCAGGCTGAATTCACCCCAGAGGAACTTGATTCTCGAAAACGGTCATTAAATCTACATGTATGTGCTGTTATTTCCTCATCCATTTCTCTTATTATTAATGTGATCTCGATTGCTTAGCATGTAAGATTTGTTGAGTTGTTATAAGGTCCATGCTCATACACAGTATTTCAAAACGGGATATTAGTTAGTCCAATAGCAACGGGACTAGCAGAGAAAGTAAATCATGCCAAATCTGTTATGCTTACTGCTTTTTTGGAGAAAAAATAAAAATAAAAAAAAAGTTCAGTATATTTGTGCATTTTTTGAGGGTTCTCTCAGTTGGCCTTGTAGAACTTTTATATGGTGTGAAATTGTTGCCAAACTTTCATTGATAACAGAGGCTCAAATTGTTTATACTAGCATCTGTGTCCACATGATTCGTGGGCAACTAGATAATTGATAGACAAGGTTAAATATTTTGGGGAAATTTATGTTGTTGCTGTGAACATTTTTTGGAAACTGCAATTGACAAAACTTTTACTAAGTGGATTGTGTGCTTTATATAATAGAATAGATATAAAGCTTATACATGAGTGAAGAGCAAAAATGATTCATTACCATTCGTTCTCTTTGAATGAAACAGGTTGATTCAAATGAAGCTGCATCCATGTTGCCTATAGTGAAACGGCAGAAGGGTTGCCAGCAGTACCCGGAACAGACCAAAGATGAGCAAGCTATCTCAGAATCATCATTGAACAAACTTGTTGGTGCTGTAGATGTGTACAACTTGGAGGTAGAAATTATGAATGTTCATCTGTTAATTTTTCAATAGAAAAGCAAAACTTGGTTTATGGAACTCTGTGTTTATCTCTTTTCTGAGCCCTCCTTGCATGCATAAAATTGTACAGGAGATGGAGCCTCCCCATACACTTATGTGTGATTTAAGGCCATACCAGAAGCAAGCTCTCTACTGGATGTCGGAATCAGAGAAGGGAGTGGATGTTGAGAAAGCAGCAAAAACTCTTCATCCTTGCTGGGCAGAATACCACATCTGTGATGAGTACGCATTTTTCTCTGGATCTGAAAATTAAAAACAGAAAAAAAAAAAGATGAAAAAACATATAGCTTTTGATCACAACCTAGTTTTTCGGAAGTCACACTTTGAATGTGCAAGATGACCAAATATGCTTCTTAACAGGAGGGCTACTGCAATTTATGTGAACATTTTTTCTGGGGAAGCAACTACACAATTTCCAACTGCCATGGAGATGGCACGAGGAGGGGTAAGTTGTATTATTTTCAGCATTGTATATTTTTGTCTTTTTTGGGGTCAAGGTGTTATTTTCTCTAACTATACGATCATGTATGTAGATTTTAGCAGATGCAATGGGGCTTGGGAAAACTGTGATGACAATCGCTCTAATACTTGCAAGACCAGGCAGAGGGAGCTCCCATGACCAAAAACTTGTCTCAGGTGCTGCAGATGAAACTGAGTGCATAAAGAAAAAGAAAGAAAGTTCTGATACAATCTCATCAAAAGTCAAAGGCGGAACTCTCATTATTTGTCCCATGGCCTTGCTAAGCCAGTGGAAGGTGAGCTATCTTCATTTCTAGAATGACATAAAGAAAGGAGATATCATATTTGGGCTATTTGTGTAGCCAATTTCACATGTATTTATTTATTTTTTAAAATTTATTTGTCACGTTTCAATTCATAGTTGCTTGTGGAATTTGTTGGTGCTATAGATTTTAATCATGAAATGCTATTTTTGAATTACAGGACGAGCTTGAAACCCATTCAAAGCCAGAAACCATTTCGGTTTTTGTTCACTACGGTGGGGATAGAACCAATGATCCCAAGGTGATAGCAGAGCATGATGTGGTCTTGACAACATATGGTGTATTAACTGCTGCTTATAAGAAGGTAGGTTACCTTTATTTCCATTAATCCTATAAATTACCAATAAAATCCAACAATAGTTGCCACTACTGTTATTACATCGCTTTTGTGAATTCTTCTGATACAGGATGCAGAAAACAGCATTTTCCATAGAATGGAGTGGTATCGGGTAGTTTTAGATGAAGCTCATACTATCAAATCCTCCAGGACTCAAGGTGCTCAGGCTGCCTTCACATTGTCCTCTCACTGCCGGTGGTGTCTTACGGGTACACCTCTTCAGGTATGCGTTCTCTCTCAGGTGCTTTATTGTGTCATCATCATAGATTTGGGAACTCCGAGATTCATTTTTGCAAGTTGTGTTTGTTTGTGTAATTATAATTTTGAAGTCACTAACAATTAAATGGGTAATTGTTCGCTTTGTGGTTGTGAAGTTTAAGATTATAGTCAACTGATAATTTTATCTTTGATTTATTTACAAAAGACATTATGAATTTCTGCAGAATAACTTGGAAGATCTCTACAGCCTCTTATGCTTCTTACATGTTGAGCCATGGTGCAACTGGGCATGGTATGGACATAAAAATTCAATATACAATATGCACACTTGACATTCTATTTCCATTTAACATATGAAACTACAACATTTCAGAGAAAAGTTGAACAATAGGGCATTTTGTTCTTTTCTTGGTTAAATATTTTAGTTTGAAAGATGATCAGGTTCAATTATTCTCTCCCCTTTTTCATTGAATATGATTTTGCCTCTATTTAGGTGGTCCAAATTGATTCAACGGCCCTATGAAAATGGTGATCAGAGAGGGATGAAATTGATTAAAGCGATTCTGAGGCCACTAATGCTGAGGAGGACAAAGGAGACAAAGGATAAAGAAGGAAGGTGAGTGATTATTCTCATTGCCTTCTCTTTTCTTTTTGTTCTACTTTTTACTGTGAACAAAAATCCCACCATAACTAACAATTTGATGTTCAATACATTTGAAATTAGGCCCATACTTGTTCTCCCACCAACCGACATTCAAGTCATTGAATGTGAACAGTCAGAAGCTGAACATGATTTCTATGATGCCCTCTTCAGGAGATCTAAAGTAAGTTATATTCAAACATGGTCTAGGCCTGGGAATATCTTTACATAAAAGGACAAATATTTTTAGTTTTTAATGATCTAACTTAAAATCTTTTCTGCAATACAAATAGGTCCAATTCGACCAGTTTGTTGCACAAGGAAAAGTTCTTCACAACTATGCAAATATTCTTGAGCTGCTTCTTCGCCTAAGGCAATGCTGCAATCACCCATTTCTTGTTATGAGGTAAGAATCAAGTCCCAAATTTTATAACCAACAAAGACTGAATAAGTTTCTCTTTTGTGACTAAAAAGTGTTTGGCTTTCTAAATCTGCAGTCGAGGTGACTCACAAGAGTTTGCAGATTTGAACAAGCTTGCAAGAAGGTTCCTTGAAGCCAATACTGATTCATCCACTCCGAATCACAAAGTCCCAACCCAAGCCTACATTGAAGAGGTGGTTGAGGGTATTAGGCGTGGTGAAAACACAGAATGCCCAATTTGTCTGGAGTCTGCAGATGATCCCGTGCTCACGCCTTGTGCTCATAGGATGTGTAGAGAATGCCTTTTGTCAAGCTGGCGAACCCCATCAGCCGGGCTTTGCCCAATTTGCCGTCAACTGTTGAAGAAGAGCGACCTCATTACATGCCCATCTGAGAACAGGTTTCGTATTGATGTTGAGAAGAATTGGAAGGAATCTTCTAAAGTTACAAAGCTCTTGGAATGCTTGGAAAAGATACACAAGATGGGTTCTGGAGAGAAGAGCATTGTTTTTAGCCAGTGGACTTCATTTTTGGATCTGCTAGAGATACCATTGAGGCGGAAGAGAATTGGGTTCTTGAGGTTTGATGGGAAACTGGTGCAGAAACAAAGGGCTCTGGTTTTGAAGGAGTTTAATGAGACTAATGAGAAAATGGTAAGCAGTCATCATGCCCCGTCTGGTTTTGTTTTTGTTTTCTGTTTTTACTTTTCAGAAAACACATGATGGTGAACTGTTGTCAAAAACTGTTTTTTGTTCACATCTCAGGTACTCTTGATGTCATTAAAAGCAGGAGGTGTGGGCTTAAATTTGACTGCAGCTTCCAATGTGTTTCTTATGGTACATTCTACCTTTGCTTCTATGAACTCTTTTTTTGCCCCTCTTTTCTGACATTTTTTCACCTCATTGATGTTCATATTGTTCAATCTAATTTGTAGGATCCATGGTGGAATCCAGCAGTGGAAGAGCAAGCAATAATGCGAATTCATCGCATCGGTCAAAAACGAACTGTTTCTGTTAGAAGATTCATTGTCAAGGTCAGTTAACCTTTTCTTGTTCTTTATCATCTGCCTAAAAATTCTCAAATTTGTTCCAACTTGGAGATTTTTTATTTAAATTTATAAAACTGGCTTGTTACATTTGTGGCTGCTGGAGTGTATCCATCCAAAAAAGTTGTTGAGAATTGGGAGGTGTTTTTGAGTAATCAGAGTAGTTTGGAATCTTCTTTACCATCACATGTAAGTTTTAACTTATTTTTCAATTTGGTGAAGTCTTGTTTTAAACACACGATTTAAGTTTAAAATCAAAACGCAACTTCAATATAAGATAATTGAAGTTTGAGTTTTGAAAAGATGACTTCAAAATGAGTTGAAAACATGACATGAATTCACCAAATCACTCGAGTTTGAAAATAAGTTAAAAATCACACGTAAATAGTGTTGAATAGTGTTTTATAGTAATTTGGAGGTTATAACAAAGGAGTAGAAGTTATTGGGTAGGTTTGGCCCATCACGTGACTGTGTGTCTCAATAACAAGGAGATATATGATTATTTTGTTAAAAAATAAGAGACAAAGTGGTCATGTGTCTCTCTATTATTAAAATGGCACACTATGTGTGTTGCAGGTCAAATCAATTATATAATTTTTATTAGCGGTGAGAAAAATTAAAAGCTTAAATTTAATGTAAGAGCGAGAAAATAAAGTAAAAAATAAGATTATATAGAGCAATGCTCTTTGAGCTAACCCATTTGGTTAGATTAGAGAGTTTGTGTAGGATCTAAAAGGAGTATTAGGCCTGCTTCCAAAACTTCACTCATGGGTGTCAAGAGTACATATAAGTCAAGCCCAACTAACATTGGGTTGGTAAGAATAAGGTTGGTTGAACTTGGACCAATCTTGATTAAATCCATCAAAGCTTAATAGCTGATTTTTTTTAAAAAAAAAAAAAAAAAAAAAAAAAAAAAAAAATTAAGTTCACAAGTCTTGCTTAGTCAATTGCCTATGGAACCAACACTGTAATGTTGGTGGCAGGACACCGTGGAGGAACGGATGCAACAGGTTCAAGTGAGGAAGCAACGGATGATTGCCGGAGCCCTCACTGATGAGGAAGTCCGATCTGCCCGGATCGAAGAGCTTAAAATGCTTTTCAGATAAACCTTGGTTTATCCTTTACAATGCTTTGGTAATTTATTTTCAATTAGGTAGAGAGAAGAGGGGGAAAAGTTATGCTCTGGGGGGCTTTTTGTAAATAAGCCAATTTTTGGAGGGATAGAAGAGGTATTTCTCATTTACACAATTGAGAACTTTGTTAATTGTATTGGCCAAATGATCAACCCCCAATTTTGTAAATTTGTAGAGCAGTGAAATGATGTTTCTTGTCTTCTCTATATCTTGTGCATTGACAAAAGCCTCATTCATTAGTGTATTTTCTCACAGAATTTTCTAGAGAAAATAAAATCCTTTGGAACCTTGACTGCTTGATTTTGACATGGAAAATGGTTTAAAATTATTTGGTGGTTTGAACTATAACATTAGATTTGATTAGTAAAAGTAAAATTCAATCTAATTTTTGACAAAGTGAAATGATATATATTTTTCTGAAATGTTCAAATCCAAACATTCTTGAGAAGATGGAACTAGAAAATCTTGACTGTATCTGTATGATTTTGACAAAGGGAGAAAGATTTTGGGCTAAAATAATAAATAAAGATGAAATAAATTAAAATATTCAACAAGATAAAATGTGACGTTCAATTTATAATTATTTTATTTCATTTTTCACAATCATCAAATTAATTAAAAAAATCAATTATATTTTCAAAAATAATTTTTTTTAATCAGGTTAAAATAGTAAAAAACCAAAAAAAAAAAAAAAACCAAAAAAAAAGTTTGAAAATTATTCGGTAATCTAAACTATCACATTAGATTTTAATCAATTAGGTAAGTTGGCTATTCTTGTACATTTTAATTAAAAAAAAATCAAAGAATCAATTTTTGTCAAAAAAAGAAAAGATTGATTTTTTTCCCCGGAATTTTATTGTGTAATTTATTTATTTTCATTACGAGTCATTTATTGAGCTTACCTTATTGCTATTCTTTTTTATATTATGGTTGTTGCGTTGAAAAAAAAAAAAAACTAATTTATTTATTTATTTCGAACATGATTAACACAAGTTATTTATTTTTATATTCACGTAACATATGTTTTAACTGTACAATTTAGGGTCTAGTTAGCTCGAGAATCGTTATTGGAATGGAACAAGGAGGGTGGATTCCAATTGTGAAGCAAAGAAGAGGGAAAGAAGCTTGGAGCAAGGAGCCAAGGAAAGAGTTATTTTCGGTGTTTGTGGATAATCTGCCTGTCAACATGGATCCTAAAACATTGTTCAAATTGTTCTCAAAGTTTGGAATAGTGAAAGATGTCTTTATCCCGCAGAAGAGGAGGAAAGTCACAAATACCAGATTTGGTTTTGTCAGGTACGACTGGTCAGTTGTAGCATATGTTGCAATTACTAAAGCAAATGGTCTTTGGGTAGAAGATAGGGAGCTTCAAGTTAAAATGGCAGAGTATGATAGAGTTACGGAAAGAGTACAGAATAGAACCCAGCCTAAAGGGAACAAAGGCGCAAATGAAGCTTGTGGAAGAAATGCACGCTGGCAGCATGGTTTACAGAGGACATATGCTGAAATTATAAAAACAGACGCAAAAGTACCTGCGGGTAAAGTTGAAACTACTATCATGGTGGACGAAGCAGGTCATGGCTGGCTTTATGAGAGTATAATCTTGAGATTTAAAGATGAGTATTCTACACATGGTATTGAGAAGATCTTCAAGGAGAAAGGAATTGGGGAGGTAATGGTCAGGAGTGCAGGCGGTAGAGATGTTGTAACCTTTCGATCCAAATAAGAAAAGTATGCAAAATTAGCACTGGTTAGAGAATGGTGTAGGGATTGGTGCGAGTCCATAAAAGAGTGGGAACCAGGAACATGTGCAGAGCAAGAGAGGTGTCTGTGGCTCAGATGTTATGGGGTTCCTCTAAGCATGTGGAATAGAAACAACTTTAATAAAATTGGCAGCATTTGGGGAAGTGTTCTTCGATTGGATGGTGACATTAGCCAACCAAAGTCCTTCAGTTATGGAAGAGTTAGAATCGTAACTCAGTGTATGGATTTCATTAATAAAACCATTAATCTGGCTTGCAAAGGAAGACTGTATCCTATCATGGTGTGTGAAGAGCAACCAGGTAGCATGTCTGATTGTGGATGCAGGATGTTTAGTCAGGTTGAGGATGGCCATAGCTCTAATGGAGCAGTTAATCAAGAACTAGTTGGCGGTGGCAAAGAAGTGGATGGCATGGCAAAAGAGGTAAAAGAAGATGGTGATGATCTGGCAAGTTTTGATACAGTAGCGGAAGAGAATCAATGTGGACTGGAGCTGACCTGCAAAGGTGCCCACGTGGACACAGTAGTAGAAGAGACTCAATGTGGCGTGGGGAACATTTTGGGGGTTGAGGCACGCATGGATGGGTCTTTATTGGAAATGGCTGTCTGTGGATTGCAGGGTGAAAATGATAACCAGTGGGTGGATGAGCATCTATTTACCCCTGGTTTTATTAAGAGTATTAGTGGGTCAGGTGGGTACAGGCCTGGCATCAGCCTAGAAGTAAATTTGGGCCATATTCATGGGCTTGATTCTCCAAATGGATCAAGCGAAGAGGAGGTGGGCACATCTATATTTAACACAACTAAAACTCATTGGGCTGTCACCAGGAATGGTGGGCATATGGGGCAATCAACCCAAAATACTGCCAATGGAAGCTCCAGCGCAGTAAAGAGGTCAAAAAGGAAAGGTAAGAAGAAAATGAGTAGGTCTGATACAGCAAAGCCTAGCATCGAGGAGGCTGGGTACAAGAAGTTAGCTCGACTTTATGGTAAAAAAAGGCCTCTTCAAGCAAACCAGCCCCTAAGTGTGCAGTATTCAAGGCTGCTACAGCGGCATTGTCGCTTTCTGCTTCAACGAAGAGTGGTTCAAGCAAAGGGAGGCACATCCGTAGTGACGCACAAGCCAATCTTCAACTGGGCAAAGTTCTGGGAATTCAATACAATGGTAAAGATAATGAAGTTTTGGAGAAGTTGGTGGAGCTTGAATTAATAGACAGAGGAAGAAGACAGGAGAGGAAGATCGCATAGGGGTCTAACTGTCTTAGCTAGGGGAATTTGGTGAATTTTCTATTTTCTAATGAAGATGATGTCATGGAATATCAGAGGACTAGGGAAATCTGAGAAGCGGGGAAGGATTAGGAAGCTCATCTTCGAAAGGAGGGTTGATTTAGTTCTATTGCAGGAAACTAAGAAAGCTACTATTTCAGAGAGTGAAGTTAGAACCTTGTGGGGAAGGAGTGATATGGACTTTATGGCAGTGGATGCAGATGGGTCAGTAGGGGGATTACTTTGCATCTGGGATCCAAGCTTATTTCAGATGAAAGATTGTTGTTGCAATAGAAGATTTGTTCTCTTATCAGGTACTCTACTGAATTCTTTTGATTGTGTTATACTGAATGTATATGCTCTAAATGATGTGAGTAGTAGAGGCACTCTTTGGGACAATTTAATAAAATTAAAGTCTGTATTTCCAAAACCATGGTGCTTGCGCCCGGGGGGGGGGAATGGGGCGGGAATCTTAATGAGATCAGATTTATTGGGGAAAGGGTAGGCTGTTCTACAATGGAAAGGGGGATGAAGGATCTAAATGTTTTCATTGAAAAATGTGAGTTGAATGATTTACCATTGCTTGGTAGGAAGTACACATGGTGTAATGCTAATGAGGGGGAGAAATGGAGTAGGATTGATAGGGTTTTGCTTAATCCTGAGTGGTTGCAAAGATTTAATTTCAAACTCTGGGGTCTTCCTAGAACTTGTTCTGATCATTGTCCACTCTTGTTAATGGAAGATGAGAGGGATTAGGGGCCAAGACCATTCAGGTTCATTAATGCGTGGACTATGCACCCAAGTTTCCCCTCTGTTTTGGAAAAATTCTGGACTGAATCTAGAATTACTGGGGGAGCTGGGTTCATACTGATTAAGAAGCTAAAGTTGCTAAAAGGGAAGCTGAAAAAATGGAACTCTGAAATTTTTGGGAATGTATCTACAAAATTAAAGGAGGCAGAAGAAGTGTTGCATGGGATTGATCTTATTGCAGAAGACAGACCTTTGTCTGAGACTGAAAAGAACCAAACAAGGGAAGTGTTAGGGGAGGTATGGAAGCTTAGCAGGATGTTGGAAAGGCTATGGCATCAGAAGTCTAGAGTAAACTGGATCAACAATGGGGACAGGAATACTAAGTTTTTCCATGTGATGGCTAGTAGCAGAAGGAATAGAAACTTACTCAATTCTATCACAGTGGATGGAAAAGTTCTGGAGGAGCCAGGTATTATAAAACTTGCTGTTTTACACCATTTCAAGAGGCAGTTCACTGAAAGCTGGAAGTTTAGACCAACTCTGGGAGGCCCCTTTAAGTCAGTTGCAGCTAGTAAGGCATTTTCTGATCTGGAAGCGTCTTTCTCTAAAAGTGAGGTATGGGCAGCAATCAAGGACTGTGATGGTAATAAGGCACCAGGCCCTGATGTTAATCTAATTTTCTTTCAGAAATTTTGGAAGCTTCTGAAACCTGAGGTTATGCATTTCATGAGGGAGTTTCATGCTTCTTGCGAGCTCTACTATGGAATTAACAGTTCATTTATGACTCTCATTCCTAAGAATGATAATCCTAATGGACTAGCTGACTTTAGACCGATTAGTTTGGTGGGGAGTATGTACAAGATTCTCTCTAAAGTCCTTGCTCATAGGCTTAAGAAAGTTCTCCCTGAAGTTATTGGGGATTCTCAGTCAGCCTTTTTAGGTGGGAGAAGTATACTCGATGGAGTATTTATTGCAAATGAAATTGTGGATGGATGAAAAAAGTCCAGAAAGAAAGGGATTGTTCTTAAACTTGATTTTGAAAAAGCGTATGACTCAATTAACTGGGAATTTCTATTTTCTATGTTGGCCAATTTTGGGTTTGGGACAAAATGGATATCTTGGATGAGGGTTTGTGTTTCCACAGCAAGGTTGTCTGTTCTGGTGAATGGTTCACCAACAGAGGAGTTTTCACCACATAAGGGCCTTAGACAAGGTGATTCTTTATCACCTTTTTTATTTATTTTAGTGGCTGAAGGGCTGAATCTATTGATGAATAGAGCCTATGAAAAAGGAATCATAAAGGGGGTAAAAGTTGGGGTGAAAGAAGTGATGATTTCTCACCTTCAATTTGCAGATGACTCTATGTTGTTTTGTGAGGCTGACTTGGATCAAATAGTTTATATGAAGAGAGTTCTAAGATGTTTTGAAA